AAATTAATACGTAATTTACTGAGAAGATACAATTTGAAATTTGATAATTTTTTATAGTCGTTTCATATAAGATTTTTAAACTTCAAATTGCATCTCCTCAGTAAATTACATATTAACAATTTTGAAAATTTTGCTTAATTGCTCGGCAGAACCTATTTTTTAAACTAAAAGAGAGATTTTTTTAAAAAATTTTCTCCAAATTTTTATTTAAAATAATCTATTTGTCGCGGGCGGTGATGGCATCCGGATTTCATTATATTACATTTAGGATTAGAAAGGTCATAGCATGTAGTAAAATTACGCAAGAAGTATTTTTCTTAAGTCACGGGAGTTGATTTCATAGGCATAATTTTGAGTTATTTTGATTTAAAAATTTTGAGATTTTTGTAACTGCCGGTGACAAATAGATTCGCCCATATTTTATTAACAGTTATTCGTGATCATTACACAAAAAATTGTCTATTCAAACATTCATATGGGACTATACATAAATTTGATTTACATAGTACATTTAACACCCAGGGTGGCGTTAACAATTCTCTATTTTTATTAGCATGCTAAATACTGTACTAAAAACGCTACGCATTTTTTACATACTGCTAAAATATAGTTCGCACTTTAAAAGTCAATTAATTTCACATTTTAATGCACTACTAAAAATTGATTTATTTTGCATTTTATACTATGTTATTAGCTCATTCGACTTTTCAATCAGTTTTTATAATAAAGTTGATAACATATAAATGATGTAAATTTATGCGATTTAGTGCTTTGTACACTAAATCAATTTCTGTGTCCTTACTGTCCAGACCCGTATTGGTCACCCCTGTATTAATGTTAAGACCAAAATGAAATTTTACTATCCAGACTTACAGTACCCCTGTAAAATTATAGATATATGAGGGTAAGTCACTAGAAAAAGAACAAATTTTTTCTAAGTTTTCTTAACTTTAAGCTTAATATATCAGCAATTATCTTATCAAGTTTTATGAATTTTTTTTGTATTATTTTAATCCTATATAATTCTAGGATTAAAATAAGAAAATTTTTAGCAAAATTTGATTAAATAGTTGTTGAGATATTTTAGTTTAAAATATAGTTGTCAGACGAAACTTCGAAGTTTCGCACTGACAAAACACGAAACCTAGCTTTTGTCTTTCGTCAATTAAAATCTTAAATGACGAAACTGACGAAAGGTGACGAACTGTCAAACCTGTAAAGGTGACTATGACGAATATACAAATAAATGTTGCTGAAAATCATTGATTATGTGTATAAAAAAAATAAACTAATAAAAATTACAAAAAATTTTATTGTATAATAGGCTTAAAGGGAGTTAGAAATGAGTATTCTATAATGTATTATACTAGTACACTACGTATCAGTTTTAGTGAGAAGTCGCTTGGTGCTTACTTTGTGATCTTACAAATTAATTTTGTGCCAGTATGTTTTTAATTCGTTATTTGTATTATTCCATGAGTAAGTACTATGGCTTTTTGACAAGGTTATTTCAACCGGTCTATAACAACCCTGGCGTTGTCCAGAAAAAATGAACTGGTTTATTTTTTGCTGGATATATGTAACTTCGGATACTGATCTCTGAATAAATTATGAATGTTAATTCAATGAAAATAACATTTGCTATTTGTATTCTTTTTTTTTAATTTTTTTTTTTTTTAGAGGGAGCACTAGGGTCTCGTCTTTTTTGAGCGTAAGGTTTCGTCAGAAGAATTTGGGGTTTCGATTTTCGTCGGAGGTTTCGTCTTTCGTCATCATATGAAAAAGGTTTCGTCTAACAACTATAGTTTAAAAATTCACTAAAAACTATTTGTCCCTTTTCTACTGACTCCCCATATACTCCCGAAAGTACATCGAAACATGATGCAATAACGGTAATGAATAGTTATAAAAAATTATATTGCTTAACAATCCGTATACCTTTCTTGAAATGAAAGAGCAGATTGAGCTAATATCGATATCAACAAAATAATATATATTTCAAATTAAAGATATATAGATTTTAAAAATTTTATTTTCAGGCGGTGTATTACTTTTTTTAGCCGCCACTGTATAGGCAATAGATCAAGAATTTTTTTGATTATTTAGAACCGATTTTGTCAAACAAGTAGGAAACATATGGCGGAAGTCTTCATTTTTGTGATTAGATAATTGAATAATGGGATTATATAGAATTTGAGGCAATAATATATATGATATAATGTGATTACTAAGATTAAAAGTGATTCTTTTCCAGTGATTGTAAAATTACTTATAAATTGCTTACGAGTTACTTATCAGTTACTTATCAGTTTTATACACTGTTCAGGAGTAAAGTAACCAAAAAACAACCTACATACAATATGGGTGGAATTTGTGATGTTCGTGATTCGAATTTTAATAATCACAGCATTACATTAAAAATTTTTACCCATATGAATTATTACGTACTAATCCCGTAAGCACATTTAAAGTGTCATAGATTTGTTAAGGTAATACCTAAAAATGTAATTTATATCGAATATTTGCCTTTTCTAATATTTAAATAGCATAAAAAAAAGAGAATGAGTAATTTACATACCTTATTAATAAATTTTTTATTTTGTTTAATAAGGTGATGAAGCTGTTATCGTTATTTTGATCATATAGATGCACTCAGCCGTTGATATTTATAAACTGAAAGGAAATAAAATAAAATATCCACATGTAAATAATGTTATTTTGCAGTAATGTTTTTATTAGGTAATGACATATGGGAGGAAGTCAATAGAAAATAAGCAAATTGTTTTTAGAAATTTTTTTTTTAAAACTTTAAATTAAAATATTTCAACAATTATCAAATCAAATTTATAAATTTTTTTTTATTTTGATATAGAATCAATATAAAAAATTTTCATTAAATTTGGTTTGATAATTGTTGAGATATTTAAAAAAAATTTTACTTAGAAAAAATTTGCCTGTTTTCTATTGACCTCCTCCATATTATGGCTGGTAAAAAATTGACCGTCTATTTTATAAGTAAATATACATTCCAAGCTTCCTCACTCTATAATTGTCACAACTTTAACAAATCAGATTCCCTTCTCTTGAAAATTCTATATAACACATGAATGGGCTTTAGTATGAATAATTGTCGAATTTCTACATTAGATTCATTAATGAAGCAGAGATTTTTATCAATTTTTAATAGTTGCCCTCCTCATGAGGTGCGTCAAGTGTAATCCAGATTTACATGAGGAGAGCATCCTCCTGCATCGCGAATACAAAGTAAATTTCCAACTATATGATATAATTGGAAATTTTACTTTGTATTCGCAACGCTCTCCTTATGAAATCCGGATTACACTTGACGCACCTTACGAAGCAGGGCAGCTGTTAAAAATCGATAAAGATCTCTGCTCATTTACGGAGAATTCATTTACTGTCTTTTACTTATAAAAATTCAAAACCATGAAATTAATAATCACTACTAGTTACTTAATATTCTCATCATTTGTAATCCCTAATTCTGCTAATACATCAGGTATCAGCACTGCTATTTCCACCAGAACTAACTCTCCTAGTACCTACTCTGTTTATTATACACCAACAGTTCACGCTTATGATGGTCATCCTCCTGATTATACACCCATTAATTCCCCTACTCATGCATCCAGCGAATTTTCTGGCACTCATGATAATTCTCCTGGTCATACATCCAGCGAATTTTCTAGCGTCCTTGCTAAATCTCCTAATAACGCATCCAGCGAATCTTATAGCGTCCATTCTAAATCAGTTCCTGAATCTCTTAATAATGCATCCAGCGAATCTTATAGTGTCCATTCTAAATCAGTTCCTGAATCTCCTAATAACGCATCCAGCGAATCTTACAGCGTCCATTCTAAATCCAACGAATATGATGTCACCCATGTTCAATCTCCTAATTATACTCCCGTAACTTATTATGAAGGTGATACCGCTGATCCTTCACCTAACGCTGATGATTCTCCTCCTAATGACAATGATTATTACTCTGAAAATCATGGTTTACGTCTCAATAATGATTCTCCTCCTGACAATAACGATTTTTATCCTGGAAATGATGATTACTCTCCTAACGATAATTCTTCTGACGATCATGATTTCATTCTTGGCAATGATGACTCTCCTCCTAACAATGATTACCCTCCTAACAATGCTAATTACTCTCCTAACAGTGATGATTACTCTCCTAACAATGATGATTACTCTTCTAACAATGTCGATTACTCCCTAACAATGATGATTACTATCCTAATAATGACGATTACTCTCCTAACAATGATGATTACTCTCCTAATAATGACGATTACTCTCCTAACAATGATGATTACTATCCTAATAATGACGATTACTCACCTAACAATGACGATTACTCATCTAACAATGACGATTACACATCTAACAATGACGATTACTCTCCTAACAATGATGATTACACTCCTAACAATGATTCTCTTCCTAACAATGACGATTCTTCTGACAACGATGATTCTCCTTCTAATAATGATAGTTCTCCTAATAATAATGATTATCCTTCTAACAATGTTGACTCATCTTATGATGATAAAATTCCTGTTGAGAATCTTCATGTCGGATATAAAAGTAACAACGAAGACACTAACACTTGCACTAGTGATCCGAATCGACTAAAATTTTTTAGTTGATAGTCAGTCGACTAATTTTATGACTAGCTGACTAGTCATATAATATATAAAGTAAATATAATAAACTACAATTTATTAGTCACCTAATCAAAATAATGGTTAACTATTAGTCTATATTAGTGTTGGGCAAATAATGCGCATGGAATTTTGGCCCGCATTATGAATTCTGGCCCGCATTATGGTAGCTTGCTGCTACGTAATGCGAGACTGGGTAAAATCCGCTGGGTCTACGGACACTAGGGTGTCCAGGATTATGATCCGGCATAATATGCGCATAATTTGCGATTTTTATTATATGAAATCGCATAATCCGCTCTCTTTCATGCAGCATGTAAACAAAAATTGATTGGTTAAACGAATAAACCGGTG